ATTTTCTCAGCAAAAATGTAAATTTTTATTGTAAATTTACAGAAAAGGTCATTTTAAATTTACGATTAAAAAACTTTTATCCTTAATTTTTATTGTGTATTTTTTATATTTATTTTTTCAATTTACGATAACTTTTTTAATCCAAATTTGATAGTAGATCTACGTTAAAAAGTCAAATCTTTATGTTTACTGTGCATTAAAAAATACAATTAAGAGTACATGACAAAAAATTCAAAATATGTCCAAAAAACTTTTAGCTGACAGTTTTGTACAACCTCTTCATCTGTCAAGAGAAAAAAAAATATTAGTTGGAATATTTACTCTTGTGATACCAAACACCTGATCGCAAGTTTACGCACAACGTCAACATCTCAGAGAATAAGGCAATAAATCCAATTATTAATATTCTGTGCCACCAGGAAACTGTTCCTCCAGCAGTGTTAGTAGACAAATGGTACAGTTATATATGTATGTCATCAAAATCCATCACATTCTCGTCACAAAAAAGACACATCTATGTTGAAGTCATTCTATGACCAATCTGTATTTGAAATGGATGGAAACAACCGACAATCATGGCGGTGAGTTGTTGTTGTTGTTGTGCCCCCGAGAACTTCAGAGGTTTGTTAATAATTGCGCATTTTGTATGTTTTTACAAATACCTGACACTTTTGACATATTGCCTAGTCACATCAGTTAATCTTTATCCAGCCCAGCTCTGGGCGACGGTGTAGCCCAATTGGGTTGCTTCTATGTCTGCAAAAGTCTTGCCCGTCAATTTCTACACACTGCCAGAGGCAATACTGAGGGGCATTTTTACAAGACATTAAATATCCACAAGTTTTCTTTAGTGTTTTAAATATCTGGTGTTTGAAAAAAGTGGTAAATTTATGACAAAGGCGTCATAATTTGATGAGAAAAAAATGTAAATTTACGACAAAACAAGTTCACAAGAGAAGAAATTGTAATTTTAATGAGAACAAAATATATACATTTGCATCAGGTAATCTTTATTCAGCCCATCTTTAGATGATATCTAGCCTGGGTTGCCTCTACATGCTGCCGGAGGCAATACTGAGGTTGTTTTTTAACTGTTTGATTGGCTCAGTTTATGTCTAACTGTTAACTCTCATAGGCCAAAAAAAAAACAAAAAATAAAAATAATAATAATAATGGTAAAAGTGTTTAAAACTAGTCATTAGACTCAAATCTTAATTCACCCTAGACCAGGGGTCACCAATCTTTTTGAAACTGAGAGCTACTTCAAGGTTACTTAGTACTACGAAGTGCTACTTGTTTGATACATTAGACCAGGGGTCGGCAACCCAAAATGTTCAAAGAGCCATATTGGACCAAAAAAACAAAAAAACAAAAAAAAAAAAAGAAATTTATCTGGCGCCGCAAAAAATTAAAAGCCTTATATAAGCCTTATATGAAGGCAACACAGCTGTAAGTGTACATCTTACACTTACAGCTGTGTTATACACTGTGTATAAAAAACTATAGTGTGTTGAATTTATGAAATCAATGAACTGCTGCAGAGAACACAGAATTTTATTTCTGCATGTAACAAAAACATTTTGAACTTGAAAAAAAAGACACAAGGTTGATGCTTACTTTCACAAAATATTTGAGGAAATAAAAATCCAAACTTAAATTATCCACCCGCAGCGAACTAAAAATGCCGTCTGCTGCTGTGTTAATAACTTCATGTACTGCAGCGTCATATATATATATATATATATATATATATATATATATATACTGTATATACTGTATATATAGTATATGGAAAATAATGGCCAATAAAAATATATTTTTTCCTGGTTAATGTGATTTTTGCTTCTGAACCTCAGTGCACAGCGTCTGCACATCAGGGCTGTAAGACATCACCTTCATCTTCACTGTAAGCTGACGTCTGTGAGGCGTGAGCGATGTCTGTTTTTAATATAGTTCATGTGGGAGAAGATCTGCTTACATACAGTATGTATGTAGATCCGAAGATTGCCAAATGCATACCTTTTCATGTTCATGTAAGTGTCAAGGACGACATTCCATGGTTCGAACACTGGTTTGTCCGGTAAATCCATGATTTACCTACCAGGGGTTGATAAGCTCAATAAATCACGCTGGTGGTGTAGGTGCAGGATAAATCCGCGCTGCTAGATATGTGCCGGGTGTCGCACATCGGCAGATGTAACGCATATTTTGAGCGACAAAAAACATGTTACAAGATTATCATAATCTTCAAATTTAGAATTATATTTAAAAAGAACAAACTAAAATAAAAAAATAAATTTTAATTAAATACTCTTTAAATACTCTCATTATTTATAAGTCACAAGGAGCCACAACAGAAGGATGAAAGAGCCACATGCGGCTCTGGAGCCGTGGGTTGCCGACCCCTGCACTAGACACTCTTCTTACCATCGTTATTGAACCCAGGAACGAGCAATGCCATGGCTGAAAATAAACGCAAAGAAAATAGAGGTAATGAGGATTAACAAGAAAAACCACAATCCCATTAAACTTCAAGACGCCAACCTCAGCGACGTGGATTTGTGAAGTTTGTGTACCTGGGAAGTGTCGTCAGCGAGCATGAAGGAACAGATGAGGACATCAATAAAGCCAGGAATGCATTCAACACTCTGGAACGCTACGGATCTGTCAAAAAGGGAACAAGATCCACATCTTCAACGCTAACGTTAAAGCTAACGTACTGCGCATCAGATGGCCAGAAAAGATTGCAAATACCACGCTATGGGGAAGAACAAAGCAGCTGCCAATAGACAAAGAAACACACAAAAGGGAACAGGGCTGGATAGGACACACTCCGCAAGGATCCAGAAAACATTGCAAAGCAGGCCCTACAATGGAATCCGCAATCAAGAGGAAGGTGGGGAGGCCCAAACTGACCTGGCTGAAATGAAGACAATGGGGTGGACGAGTCTACTGGAGGAGCGTTGCCGAGGCCCTATGCTCCCACGAAGACCAAGAGGATTACCTAACTAACTAACTTGTTGACTAGTTCTATTTTTAGAACATACCCCGCGGGCACCTTAGGAAGTCCACAGGGGCTACCAGGTGACCCCGGGCATCATGTTGGTGACCCCTGCCCTAGACATAAAAAAAAAAATCTGGAACTTTTGTGGTTCACATTCACAGCTTCGCATCCCAGTGGCGTAAAGACATTGTTGATTTGCAGTATTGCAGTGTCGTAACAGCAAAACGATTCAATGTGGTTTCATCTCGTACTAATAAATGTAAATCGTACATAAAAAGTAAGAAATGTAGGTAAATCAAATGTTGTCTTTTGTCGTCTGAGCGTCAAGTCATGTCCACAGTGCATAGTGGGCTTTTGAGTGATCTGTATTCCTGTTAGTTAAACATCACAGTCAAAGGACGGGGGACAGTTTTTTTTTTTCTTTGACCGCCTGGAATTAGTTGTAAATACATCAGCTTTGACAAAACCACATGAAAAAAATGTTATATTGCTCTTTTTTTTTCAAAATTTACTTGTTTCCTCTGATGGAGTGATGCTGTACAACCTTTTTTTGACTTTTTTTCACTGTCCTGTTCAGTAATACAGCACAGTGACAGCAGGGGGTGATAGTGTGATAGTTCTGCATTGAATGTTGTTGCATTCAAACAGGTAAGGCCTAAAATCTGACACCTGCGTGCTAATTATAGCTAACTGCACAGTTAGCTATAATTAGTTCCAAATGGAACTTTAAAAGCCACGTGGTTAGGACTCTGGTTCTGTACTGCGTCGGTTGTTACTAAGCTGAAGTCCGGTTCTCTCGTCGCACAACCCAGGCTCCCTGTCGGGAACATCAATGTCCTGTTAGCATCTCTGCGGTATTGCCAAACCCTTCATTTAAAAGTGCTGTAGAAAAACTCTTAGCAGTTAGCAGTTCTTGTTTTAGCCACTCATCAGTGTAAATGTATTTAACACAATTATTTATTTATGGCAAATCTTTCAGACAAAAAAAAAAAAACCTAAATATCTCCTCTGCATGTTTTTAGTTCCGAAACTAGATTTGATGCATATTTTTGTAATGTTAGCGTTTCAGAATATCGTAAAAAAAAAAAAAAAGAAGGATCATCAGCGATTCCAGTGACGGAAAACAGCCAATGAGGAATTTCTGTTTTTTTATCTATGAGCTTGTATCTAAGCAGCCCTTAATTAACCATCCAGTTTAACTTTAGCTGTGATCACTGATGAACCTCCATCACAAGTAATTCGCTCACAGTTGTCGTTAAGTGAGAACACAGATATAAAGACTGATAACATTTACAAACTTTTACATATGAGTCAAGACAACTGCTTAAATCCATGCACTTCATGCATAGATGATGGTCAACCTCTGGGGCGTGGTGACTGAGAGAGTTTAAGACTTTTTTTTTTTTTAATATGCTCCAGTCAGGAGCCTGTGCGTCAGCCAGTGCATCAGGCTGGAGCGACATCCACATGGTTGTATTGCATCTCCCTGTTTCCTGTCCAGCTATTTTAATTCTTCAAAGTGATTTCGGAACAATTTTGCACCACAAAAGAATATTCTCCGTGACTCTGCACATCATTCAGAAAGGCGTTCCTTTGAACAGATGCTGTTGAAAACGCAACATATTTTGCTTTAGTCATTTATAATAAACCTCATACAGTAATACACCGACAGGACTGGACACAGTCCATGTTGCTCTCTATAGCTGCCACTATAGTGAAAACTGCTCATATTTACACATGGTGAATATATTTATTACAAAGAATGATATCTTAAACACCCGACCTCACACCACTGTGGCATCACACCGCCGCTCCACTTGTCCTTATGATTATTTTTACCGTTTCTTTCCACACACCTCGTTCACCCATGTGTGACTGGAGTAATACTGTGATCAGTTGTGTGATTGTCTGTAGTATTACCTCTGTGGTTTTTGTTTCCAACATTACCTCCCAAGTGATTTTCTGGTAGTGGTCAAGACTAAACAACAAAAAGCTCCTATTTCATCCCACTTCGCAGCACCTGATTGGCTGCGATGAGCATGACGCTGATGATGAAGGCGATAGCGAAGGCGATAGCGAAGGCGCATAAGGGTTTTGAGGACGCAAGTTTGCTTGACCTGCTGAGTTGGGCTAGAACCTAGAGCAGAAAAGGGAGGGAAAAAAACATCAATATGTAACAAGTAGATGACTGACAACACAAAGACTTCCATCTGAGAATCTCATAACAATAATGACAGGGATGACCACACACTACAGTGTCTTGTGTTTTCATGGTGTGTTAATAGTTAAGATCAAAATGACAGTCAGGGTTTATAATCAACAAATTTTCTCACACCTCAGGTGTCACGGTGAGCCAACAACATGACAGAAAGCAGGCAGGACCCAAATGCAGGACTGGTGCAGGTATATTTCAAAAATCAAAATTCACAAAAATCACTTCCAAAGACCAGGACAGAAGCATACGCAGAGCTGAGAACAGGAACAGAGCTGAGCACAGCAACAGACTTGACCAGGAACAGGTACAACATCGACCAAATACAAGACAACACACAATGATCCCACCAGGCCAGAGTGAGGGAGAGAGTTACTGTATATATACAGAGACACAGGTGAGTGTGATAACACAGATTACCCCACGCAGCAGATAGCAGGAACAGGAAACAGACAGACCTGACATCAGGACCATATTTAAAGAAAAACACAACTCCAGGAAAAGTTAGCACACCTGAAGACTTTTGGATAATTCGATTTTTAAACCATTGTTTCCCAGAGTTTTTTTTTTTTTTTTTTTTTTTTTTTGGGGGGTCTTGCATCATGTTTCCCAGGAGTTTAAGAATAATGTCTATTGATTTGGGTCGCAAAGGTTTGTGACTTTTAAAATATGGGTCCTCAGAATTTTTAAACCTAGTCTAAGTTATGGGCCTAACAGGATCAGCATCGAGTACTGGTGATGATTTAACCAGAAATTAAGTATTTGAACAGACTGCACTATATGTTTTCCTCATTAAAATAAATAATAAATTAAATTAGAAAAATTTACAACAAGCAAAATGAAGATATTGTTACGCGTAAAATGTAAGATGTAACTGTTGTTTACGCTAACGAGTTACCCACTACACAATTGTTACACATGCAGTATTTGACTTATCAAGTACACATCAGTACAGACTTTAGGATAACAATACATATGTGAAACTCTGGTGGGCCGCAGAAAATGACATGCAGTGCCGGATTGGGCACACAGTTTGAGACATGAACTATGCAGGTTTGCACACAGTGCACCAGTATGTACAAGCTCCCAGCCGGACAGTGGTTGAAATGAATTCTCCTGCTGTATAAAAAAACAGTCATGTGATTATAACAGAGAGAGTTCTTCCTTACTGTCTATATCCACCTGACAGTCTTCAGGGTTCTCTATGTGGTTCTCCTCCGTCATGATGATGTTCTCGATGTCCTTCAGGGAGAGGTGGTCACAGAACGTGTCGTACAGAAGCCTCTTCAGTTCCTCCACTGTCAACTTCTGCATGTCACACTGCAGACAGACGCGGAATCGAACATGAGCTCGGACACAGGCCACCAGACAAACAGACAAACGTACAGTAATTTTTCTGCTCTACGATCTTCTGTCTTCTCTAATTAGGAGAAAATGAACTGAATAACGAGCACCTTCCAGAAGACAGAGTCAAAGTCAGTGCCGTTGAACTTATCTGGTAATCCTGCTGCCGTCAGCTTGGGACCAAGAAGAGTCACAAACTCTTCAAAGTCCACCTGGCCATCGCCTGTGAAGAAAGGAGAAAGTCAGCTAGTTAGCTAGCTATTTAGCTATATTACTGTAACCTGTTACTGAATTTTCCTTACCGTCCATGTCCAGTCTCTGGATGATAACTTCCAGCTCCACCTCGTTTGGCATGTAGCCCAGGGAGCGCATGGCCATCCCCAATTCCTGCTTTGAAATGAAGCCATTCCCATCACGTTCGAAGACTTTGAAGGCCTTGCGGATTTCTACAGAGAAGGTAGAATAGAATAGAATACAACAGATCAGTGGTTCTCAAACTTTTTATACTCTGTACCACCTGAGAAAACATTGAGCTCTGAGTACCACCATGATGACTAACATTAGAATTCCCCTGCTCGTTCCACGTTCAACTTGCAAGTGATCCCATGATTCCATGCTACAGTACCTGTGCTTACGTGAGCAACAGACTTGCATTGCAGCAAAAAAAACAAGAAAATAAATAAAAAGACCAGACATCCTTTTTCATAATCTAACAAGTAGCTACACATTTTTTCTAAATGTTGAAATAATTGTGCATGGTATGTTTCAGATTTATTTAATTGAAAATGTAAATGAGAAAATATGAATTTTCCCCACGTACCACTAGAGAGCGCAGTGGTACGCGTCTCCACAGAGAACTACTGAAATAGAATAGATTTTTATTTCGAAAAGAACCCAAAAGAATCCATCTTTTCTTTTTTGACCACAGTGTGTCACTAAAATTTAATTTAGACATCAAGAAACTATAATTATCTGCATAAAAGTAGCAAAATATGTAGCCTTAAATCTATGGACCAATCAAAACCGGCTTCTGTGAAAATGCTGAAACCTCATGTCTGTTTCGTGTGGAAACCTGTTGTTATCGCCTCCATGTTGACAGTTACCAATCGTTCTCCTCCCTGCTGTCATAAAAAACAAAAACAAAAAAACAATTAACTTCTTTAAAATGAACCAGTGCACAGATGGAGACACACCGCACACTTGTACAGCAGCAGCTAAAAGACAACTGCGACAACAGGACTCATTAAATCACTTGATCCACAGCCTCCGTCTCAAACAATGGCAAACCTTTAAGCGGTTAATTCCTCTGTTCGGCCACGATGCAGATTTCCCATCATTCTTTGCGTGTTTACTCTTCACAGGGGAGTGAAATCCTTCATTTGCATGCAGGAACTTCATGTGTTTAAGGGAAAAAAGGAGCGTAGGATGAATGTTAGCATGAGGCTGATGCACAGTGTCGGTTTGTCATACAGCAACATGACACATGATATTTTACAACTAGAACAAGTCCACAGAAAGACCATGAAATATCATGTAACCAGTGAGGGAGAAGACAATGCATTGTAGAGATTATTATAAATCATGGGAGCCTAACCCGGCTTTGGTAATATAGACCAGCATTGACCAAATATATTCGGAGGGACAGATTTTTTCTGGACATACACCTTGGGAGCCTTTATCATTAAGATTTGACATTAATTTTGGAAATCCATTCATGGGCCAGATTTGGCCCGCTGGCCGCCACTTTATGATCACTGATTTAAAGGTGATTTCAGACTCTGATACTAACAGAATAATCTAAAAACAAAATATTAACCAATCCTTAATGGCCCTTTAACAATGATTGGCTGGTACTGATGATCGGTTCTTGGTACAAAATGCTGTTAAAAACATCACACAATATCGAGTGGCTTTCTAATGGAACATCACAGGTTGTAGTCATAGTTCTGAAGTGTGATACAACACGACGTCGCGACATCCTCGACCTGTGATACCAGCAACTCTGGATCAAATCCCAGCAAAGCCCACGGTGTTTCCAGTGTGAATTGCTTTATGATGATTTAGTGCGACAAGTGGCCAAGCCCCGGGCCGAATTCCACAGCTGATGCTCTGTGACAAATACATTCACTGGAAAATAAAAAAAAACATCAGCGGTGGCAAGAAAACAGCTTGTTTTGTTCAGTGTACAATGTCAACATCAGAGGTTTTAGAAAAGGGTTGTTTACGAACACTCGCCAAAAGAATCCAACCAGTGTGTCTTCTTTTAAATGTTTTCCCTGATTTCTCCCCTGTGTGTAATTCAGTGATTATAATCCTGGATGTAACTGTCCAACGGTTGTTGTGCTCTGCTAACTGTGTGTTTATCAAGAGTTAAAATGAGCAAAACCTTCCTTTGATGCTGAAGAACTTTTCTTCCCCTAAGGCAGTACTTCTCAAGCAGTGGGGCGAGCCCCCCTAGAGGGGCGTAGTGGAGTGCCAGGGGGGGCGTGAGGGGCATAAGTGTACCACTACTTGAATGATAACAAGCCTCCAGTCACTAAGTGGCAGCAACCCATGCAGTGGTTTGTACAGATAAAAAATATAGGTTATCAGGTTCTCGATAGTATTTCAGTTCGCAGGGGTGTGGGTCGAGAGGGGGGGCATGAAAACATTTCTATCCACAAGGGGGGGCATGACAGAAAATAATTCAGAATCACTGCGTTAAGATTAAGGGTTCTGATGTGAAGTGTTTCAATCACGTCCAGTAAGATTAACAAGCATTGATCTGCTGTATAGTCAGGGATTAGTCAGACAGTTCAAAGACACATTTTCATTTTTAGTAAACAGAACCTGTTCAGACTGGATTATGAAGAGTTGACAGGTTTGAGCTGTGTAATGATTCTTTGTTGAGGATTTTGCAACCCTAAAAAAAAAAAATAATTATAAATCAGAGTGGAAGTGGAAATGAATTTCAGTCCTTAGAGGAAACAGAGAAGCAGATTGTGACCTGGTACAATAACTTCTCTAATGGAAACAGAGCTTGCAGAAATGTTAAGAGTAAAATTAATGAGAGTATATATATATATAAAAGAAATTATTACCACAGATAATGTTTTAGAATTTTTGTTGTCTTACCCTCGGATATTGTGTTCCACAAGTATAGGTCAGAATTTAATTAGATTTGGACAAACGCTGGAGGAAAAAGGAAAACCAAACAATTAATTAGAGATGCTATCTTCTCATTTTATAAAATTATCTAGATCTTGATAAGTTCACCGGGAACATTTTCACAGAGATTGTGTTTAGTTTAAATTATCCCCTGGAGAAATTATGATAGTTAACATTTTCACGGTCAGTGAGCCAACATTCAATGACCAGTAAATCTATTTACCTTGTGATAAAGAAGAAACCACGCTTTTGTTATGTCAACTATTGATCACAAGTGACATACTATACTAATAGTTAGTAAAAAAGCCTTAAAAAAAAACTTCCAAAAATTTCCAAAAATGCACTGACTCGCCTCAAAATATGTAGCTATGCATGTCTCATTATTAAAATCTGTTGTTCTCAGTGAGAAAACGTTTTTTTCGATAATACCTATGCCACTTGAAGGCAGCACACACTGCAAGCTCTTCAGGGCTCGTGGGTAGGACTGAGAGCGCCCGGAGCAACTGAACCAAAAAATCAAGTCACACTGCGGTGCTGATAAAATATATTAAATATTATCGAGGTCATTTGTGATGATATCGTACTTATCAGAATGAGATCATAACTTACGATAATTAGCGGTCACATCCATACTAAGCAAGATATGATCTCCGCTCCCACGTCTTGACTCTGGAGAAACTGGACGTTGTTCCCCGCCTGTCAACAAGTACGTGGAGGTGACAATATGGTAACATCTGTTGATTAAAACATGTGTCACTCTGACAATATATCAATTGATATTTTCTCATTAACACCAACAAAACCTAGCTATCTATAATTAAAAATGTTTCTTCATGTTAGATGTGTAAATGTACTTTTGTGTTACGTTTGAACCGGCTTAAAAAGCTGAATTTTCATTGCTGCTAATTCTGTTAATGTTTTATTATGACTTTTCATTTTAATTACATTTCACTTTATTTCTTCATCAGTATTTGCATGTTTTCTTTTCTTAAAATGAAGGCGCTGATGTTTGTGCTTTTCCCACGCCTCCCTCAGGGAGGCTGGTATATTTTTTGCTGAAAGTATTTGATTTGATGTAAGTGAGGTGCTAGTTGGCCTTCAAAGATGGAGATCCTGTTCTGACACAGGATGAAAAGCCCATGTTTTTTGTAACTCCATTTCTTCATTAAATCAACGACTTATTGCAAAGTTGAAAAATAGTTATAACTTCCAGAACACATTTCTTTTAAGTTACTGATAATAAATTCAGTCAAAATGGAGACTCGCGCTCGTCCTTCATCCCACCTGACAGCTGTAATCACAGAATATATTCCAGACTAACCCGGACCCCACGCTCACAACAGAACCCACTTTGGATGGCTAATAGGATTACAGCAACAGTTAATGTAACAACGATGAGTCTTCGAGACAACTACGTGTGATCGTATTTAACAATAAAAGTCAACTCTCAACCGTTTAGATTATCAAAGAACAATTTAAATGTAGAGTATGTTGCGAAGGGGAGACACATTAATTACATCAAACTTGTCCAATGATTATGAGGATGAGTGATCGATTCCATGGTATCGATATATCGATACGATACAAGTGTAGATCCAGTATCGATTACACTCATAAAGCATCTACTAATACTAAGAAATAAATGAAAAAAGCTTGTTTGTCACTTCCACATCTTTCGCGGTAACTTCTTACATACAGGCTGTCGACAACCCACGGTGGTATCAAATTGAACTGATCCATTCAGTTCAATTTGATACTGACTAGAAGAGAGCAGCAACTCCTTGTGGTCACGTTGACTCAGCATCTTTGGTAACAATTAGACTATTGACATTTGGATCCATTCAGGCTCATCTTTGCCTGTTTGTCAGTCGGCTACAGTACAAGTGTGTGTGAAGTGCCTTTTCATGAGCGTCGGCAGTATGTGCGAAGTAAGATTTATTATTCCTGTATTTTCGCTTCTGAGGCAAGGTCTGAGGCAACTTCTCATTAAGAAGAAGAACAGAGCTCGGACACTTTTTCACCACCAACAACAACAACCGCAGCTACAGTGTTACTGTGGCTACAGATTGACATGAACAAACTGCAAAAAATGAAACCCTGGTCAAATTACTATTCCATATATGAACTAAATCAGACCCATAGAACTATTGACAGCAGAAAATGGCTCCCAGAGAGTTTATTAAGAAAATGCCAACTTTTGTCATAAAATAATCAGTCCCCCAGCGTCAGGATTGTATTTAAATTAAGATGTATTCATTTTCATGATTATTCTAATAGTCTGTGTAAAGAACCACAATGTTATTGTGAAAAATCAGAACAAAGACTTATTACAAAGTCAGGGAAACGTGGAATAATAACAAGGTTTTCTTCAAATACTGAGTTACACTGTACACGACACCCCAACCCCATCCCCCTCCAGGTTGAGAGTTCTCTCACCAAGAACCTAACTCGTCTCTATAGATATGTTTAAAGTACAACTGTTGAAATAACTGTGTCCTTCGTGCGAATACATTTGTGAGATGAATCAAATAATAATAAAAAATTAACGCATTTTAACACACATATATACATATATATGTACAGTATATATACAATCATTATAGTGTCCATTCACTTTGTTGTTTCCATTGACAAACTGTTATTTGCACACATTGTGTGGAAAAAGTTTGAGTTTGACTAAAGCGCCTCAAGCTCCAAATACCACCCCAGTGGCCAGCATGTGTTAGTGAAGGCTTCGATTTCCCGACATCTATCCACGTCACCAAGCGCAGGGACAGAAGTAAGACTACAATTTAAGGAAAATCTCAATGCATTCTGCAAAATGTCGTAAAGACACACAGTGAACTGAAAAGACTAAAATCTGTTAGTGAAATCTAGACTTCTACTTTAACATATTTGTTTTTGACAATTTACCATATCCCTGTGGAACCCCAGGGTTCACCTCCTGGTCAGGATCAGATCCCGGTTAGGGCGGTTGGCGCCTTCCAGTGGACTCACCACCCGCAGGAAGGTTCACGAGGGGTTGGTACGGTGCAGTGTGATTTGGGTGGCGGTCATGGAGACTGCTGCCCCCGCAATCCAATAACGGATAAGCGGACGAAAATGGATGGATGGATAGATGGAATTTTCCATATTTATAATCCCATCATTCATCTTAGTCACAACTACAGTTATGAAACATTAACATCTACCTGTACATTTTTTTGTTTGTTTTTTGTCATATATGATAAATTACAATCACGATTAATCTTAATTAACCAACAGCTACCCTGCGATTAATCAGATAGTAATAAATCTATTGTTTGACAGCCTTTGTTTGAATTTTTTTTTCAGCCATCTCTGGTTTTTGGTCGGTTAATTTTATCATGGCCCTTATATCTGCTCACTCTCCTCAATAATTTCTAAAACTTGCTTTCTGCAGCACTTGATCCCACAGAAGTATGCCCCCGCGACACCCACTGATTCTACAGCAGCAAAACGCTGTGTGCATAATTTCGAGTATTGCCAAGTAGATGCCGGTGCCTTTGAATATCTTCATTTGTATTCAAGTATGTATTTCCAAAGCAATGTAAGTCAGTCCTCCACTTCAGGGCAAAGAAATTAGTCAATGTTTTCCGTTGCAGCTACAGTAGGAGTCGAGGTGCAACATCAAGATAGTTTCAATTTAATTTGCTTATTTTGGAGCCGCTTGTCAAAGAGTTTAAGTCACAGAACAGCCGCAGGAAAAACAAAACAAAAAGTAAAAACAGAAGTTACAGTTGCATGTCAAATTATACCAAAAGTACTTGAATGAACCTTTTTAAACAAATTCTAAAATACTTTTTAGTAAGTTAGATGGATGAATAGATAGATAGATAGATAGATAGATAGATAGACAGATAGATAGATAGATAGATAGATAGATAGATAGATAGATAGATAGATAGATAGATAGATAGATAGATAGATAGATAGATAGATAGATAGATTCATTAGCTTCATTAGCACAGCATCTTATACAATACTTGCAGTACTGAGAGTCTGTATTTATAAATGTATGTGTAGTTAAATAATAATAATAATAATAATAATAATAATAATGTATGAATGAATGAATAAATGTTGGTGCTATAGAAGCAACAAACTTTGACTTTGAATCCTGAAGAGACACCCTTTTCAGAGTTCACTTGGTGGCAATAAATAACGATAGTTAAAAAAAAAATTAAACTACTAATTCCTACTGGGACCAGAAGCATTTCCTTAGCAACATCACACACAAAAAAAGATGTCAAGGGAAAACACCACATGGATACATCACTTGGAATC